GTAGAGCCCCAGAAAACAAAGTGCTGGTATGTTTGTGTCAGTGTTTTGATTCAACACAGGTTTTGTTCCTCTTCCATTCAGGTCCTCTCTGCAGTCGGTCAGAGACTCCGTCAGTAATCAGCTGTCTGCGGTCCAGCAGCAGTTTGAACAGAACTCAGACAGTCTGGATGTGATCGATGTAACCGAGCGATCGGCCGCAACGCCGTCAGTCGCTGATATGATGGAGTGGCTTCAGGACGCAGAGCGCCACTATCGGCAGCAGTATCCTTCTGCTCAGGTCTGCCTGTTTGTGTTGTGTCTTGTTTTTTTTTTCTCCTGAACTCGTGTGTTCAGATTCCTGAGGAGGAAAACTCTGCTGCAGACGCTGAGAGTCGACGACTTCTCCCTTCTGGAATCTGCCCCCAAGAGATGGAAGTCACTGGACAGCGCAGAGGATCCCGTCACAGGTAAGATAATAAGATAAAGATGACTTCGCTGTGACGGTGCTCTGCTCAAACCATAAATAATATAACCTACTGTTATCTGAGAACCTGTCCTGATTTTAGTTGCTTTAAATTTCCTTTAAACTTCCTTTTATTGCCTCCAATATTAGTTTTACTTTTAAACACTGATGTTTTTGTATGCCATATTTTAATGCCTGTATATTTTATTTTGCTGCTTATCAATTATTTAGATCTAATTATTAATTAATCACATCATAGTTACGCAGACAACACTCAGATCTATTCAGCTGAATGACTCAGTTTGTAAACCTGCTTTGTCTTTGTCCTGAGGAAGTTAACGAGGACACAACAAAACACTTTCCAACTAAATAAAGAAAAGTCTGAAATTTTTCTATTTTTGCAATTAGGGATGTTGACGATCAATTAAGTGCCAAAAAACAAATTAACTGATTAAAATGCATTAACCGATAAATGCATGTCTGTAAATGTACCGGGGCTGCAGGTGTCTCAGTGGTTAGCACTGTTGCCTCACAGCAAGAAGGTCGCCGGTTGGCGTCCCGGTGAGGACACCCGGGATCTTCCTGCGTGGAGTCTCCATGTTCTCCCCGTGCAGCGTGGGTTCTCTCCGGGTTCTCCGGCTTCCTCCCACAGTCCATAAACATGCTGAGGTTAATTGGTGATTGTAAATTGTCCGTAGGTGTGAATGTGAGTGTGCTTGGTTGTCTGTCTCTAAGTGTAGCCCTGTGATAGACTGGTTACCTGTCCAGGTGAACCTGCCTTCACCCTGAGTCAGCTGGGATAGACTCCAGCCCCCCATGACCCTGGTGAGGATTAAGCGGTGTATAGATAATGGATGGATGGATGTCAATGTACCATAGACCAGCTGCAGTACCTGGTTGTTCCACCAGGTGGAGCCTCTTCCTATTTAATCCTGTGGAGACCAGAGGAGGCGTCAGACTACAGTTCATGTTGGCAGCAGAGAGCATTGTGGGAGTTTAGCAGCAACGGGACCATGACAGAGACTCTGAGGAGGTTCATGACCTCCGACCAGAACTCAAATGTTCTCGTAGATCAACATAACTACAGCTCAGTGGCTTCAGGATCTGTAATAGCAGCTTATGTGGCTTAAATAATTTAATTATGATATAAATGAGTGACACAGGAGCTCAGCTTGAGGGTCAGATTACATAAAACAGTCAGATATTCTAATATGGTCTACAGTCAGTTTATTCCACTTGTGTTTCGGAGTAAATATCGACACATCTTCAGATGCTGTCATTTTTAATCTAATGCTTTGTATAACGTGAATTTGTAGATCAACTAATTACTTTCTGTCTTTTTTCAGATACACTTTGCAAAGTTTCCTTCTTCATGGAGTCGCAGTGAGGACGGCTGAAGGGACGCTTAACCGTGAACCTGAAAGCAAACCGACTGAACTTATGTAACTGGGATGGACGCTCAGATGTCTGGGCGAGGACCAGAGTCTTCTTCAGCCACACAAACCGCCTGCAGATGGGGATTATCTGCATGAACCGGACTGTGCATGAAGACGAATGGAAAGGACATCGTTTCACATTTGAACTTTTTCACATTTGCAAATTTTTGCTGCCGTAAAATAAATACAAACTCCAGAAAAAGTAAAACAGCTCCAACACAGTTTTTGTTTAAGCACACTTTAGCAAACTTCTTTATTTCTCCACTGTGATGTTCTCAAACTCAGCCAAGGCATCATGTGACTATTCGAGAGGTAATGACGTCGCCGGAGAACAAGCGAATCAGAAATCACTGCAGTCCTCACAACACTAGCCATCATTGAAGCCCGTCTGACTGGACAGGACGGGCTTTCTTCAGGCACTACCGAGAGTCACAGCGCAGGAAAAGACAAACATGGTGAAGAGATATACAAAATAGATCGGATATGATAATAAATATATAGATTTCCATTTATAGCTTCAATTTCACAGATTTAAAACCGGAGACGGTGAACTTGTCTCTCTACACGTACTCCTTCAGCGGCAGGTTGTTGGAAGTGATGGGTTTTGGAGGATCCGGTGCCGTCGCCGGTGAATTGGCGAAGCTCCGGCCGATGTAGCCCCGGCGGTAGCGGCCGCCCCGCTCCATCAGCGGGCAGGTGCTGCTCAGGACGGCGCCGCTGATCATGAGGATGACGGCGGAGGCCCAGCCCAGATAGATGGCCTGGCCCAGCTCGCGCTTGTGCATCAGCGGCACGTTGGGGTTGTAGAAGTCCTGGACCACAGTGTTGGCGGTCCAGGAGACAGGGATCAGCACGCACAGGCCCGTCAGGATGAAGAGGACGCCGCCGGACAGCGCGATGCCGGCCTTGGCGCGGCGGTCGTCGCCGGCGCAGGTGGTGCACTTCATGCCGCAGCAGGACACGGTGCAGGACAGCCAGCCCATGAAGATGGCCAGGCACATGAGGGCGCGGGCGGCCTGGATGTCCGGAGGCAGCGCCAGCATGGAGTCGTACGTCTTGCACTGCATGTGGCCCGTCGTCTGGTAGATGCAGTTCATCCAGATCCCCTCCCACTTGATCTCCGAGGTCAGGATGTTGCTGCCGATGAAGGCCGACACCTTCCACTGCGGCAGCGCGGTGACGGCGATCGCCATGATCCAGCCGGTGACGGCGCAGGTGAAGCTGATCAGCTGCATCCCCGTGTTCACCATGACGACCGAGCTGTTGACTAGTTTGCTTGTTTTCTGGTCCTTATTTTGGTCTCACAAGTCTCTGAGCGTCCTGTTGGTGCTTCTTATGGTCTTCGCTCGAGTGTCACTCCGTCAGCAGCCATGTTCTTCTCTTTTTCTTTTCCTTTTCAACATCTGCTCTCTGGATGATCCACAAGTAGTCGCTCCCTTCCAGCTCTTCAGGCGATCAGCGGCTCCAACACTTTCTCCTGTTCATCCCTGAGTCGGACTCACTGCATTATTGATCAGCCGATCGCTGTGCAGCCAGCTGTGGCTCGGCCGGATCGATGAGGCTTCACCGTCCACAGGAAGACGTGGACCTCTGCCAGGATTTCCTGTTTTCCTTGTGGAAGTGTGTCTTTGCCCTTCAGCTGTGCTTCGGACCCAGAAGGCCGAGCGACTGTCGAGCTGCTGTTTGTCTGAGTGACGCTCTCCCGGTCCGGTGTTGCCTTACGGAGATGGATCACGCCGATAGAACCTGATACGTGGACTGGAGGCCACCAATGCTGCTGTGAGTGTCTCCTGTCACCGCCAGGCTCCCGACGCTGACGCTCGGTTACACAAAACAAAAACACGCTGCAGCTTTTCACCTCCACGTCCAGTTTTATCCTCAAACGGGCGTCCGGGCAGCTTGTTCCAGTCAGTCCACCTTCACAGGCGACAGGTTTGTTTAATCCCAGAGAAGGAAGCCGGCCGCTGAAGTGTCTCCTTGTGGACAATGAACTGGGTCCACTTCAGGCTTCACCCTCCCCCAAACGCCTCTTTGGGAAGCAGAAATGTGGTTCCAGCGACGTTATAAATAACAAATCAGGGCTGAATGGGGAGACTTGTGGGTAAGTGGAGCATCGGTTCGCCTCCTCCCATCTTCAGCTGCTGTCAGACCTGCAGAGAGCGACGCTGAACCCCAGGAAAGAAAAAAAAACAAAAAAAACAGAACGAAGCAGCCGAAGCCGAGCAGGAGGGGCGACAGACAACAAAAGCGGGGAGGGATGGATGGATGGAGGGAGGCTGGTCTGTAGGTGGATCAGTAACACAAAGACGACATGTGGGGCCTCGACAACGGGGATTACACTCCTCTGTTTGGCTCCGCGCTGCACAAACTTGCATTTATTTTAAAGGAGCGTTCACAAAAATCAGCTTTCCTTTTTGTGTGATTCACAAAAGGGCTCATAGTTTCCTTTATTCTAACAACGACTGAGGTGTTTAAAACGCTGAAAAGCAGCAGGAGAAATAAACAACACAGAGGGCTTTTTAAAGCATGTTTCAGGCGGACAAAGTGGGAACTAGAAAAGCTGAATTTAAAGGTTTACAGGATTTGACCCCTCGCTGGTTGAATTAGCTCAAACCTGATCAAGGTGATGATTAATAAAGAATGAAGAGGAAATATATAAGAATGCAATAAAGATAATAAAGATTATAAACACATGTACGTCTTCCACACACTTAAAAAATCTGTAAACAGTTTTTTGGAAAGTCACACTATTAGGTACACTGGAAAATTACAAATCTATTTAAATAAAAAAGAAAATCGAGTATTTTATTTTTAGCATCTTCAAATGTGTTCAGGAAAAAAATACATTTAGATTAAAAAAAAACAAATTACTGTTTGTAAAACTAACAGATTTTTTAAAATGTGCACATTTTGTAAACACTTAAAAATATAAATAACATTTTTTAAAATTGTACAATTAAAAAATTAGAGAATTTTTTTATTATTTGTTTTTTAAATTATTTAATTTTTGTTAAATTGTTTATAATATCTTGTAAAGTCACAATTCAAAAAAGTATTAATTTACATGTTACCTGTATTAAAAAACTGTCAATCATGTCCCCATCAAAAGCAAAATGCTAAAGGTTGGAAAATGGTAAATATTGTTTAATAATGATAATAATCCTCTTCTAACAGTTATTTTACATTTTGTTAATTACACACATCATTTTGTAAAATAAAAAAAAAGTATGAATTTACATACTGACTTTTAGAAATAGCTTCATTTAAATCAGTTAAAAATACAATTATTTTTCAGACATTTTCAGTTATTTTCACCGTCTTTGTGTGTGTGTGTGTGTATCATATAATAATTTTTGCTCTGTTTTTGTGCATATTTTTACAGCGTTTATACAGATCTGACATGGTGGATTATTGTGCTTATAATTGTTGGACGGTGTGTCGAATTTTATTTAAATTGCTCTGTAACATAATTATATCGTATGAATGTCATAAATAAACAGGTTGGATTCACATTTTAAGTGAAGTATGTATATATAAATAATATATTGTATGTAAGGATTTGTTTACAGACATTTAAAACTGGTGAGTGGTCCGTATGAGTCAAACAATAGTGAATACATATTAAAGGATCAGTACACAGTATGAATATCAGTGTGTGATGCATATATAACGCTATACACATGAATAAATCGGATATATTCAAGTAGAGACAGAGTCAGAGAGTTTATTCATCAGTGTCTGAACAGACTGACACGTGTTCATCAGGTGATTTATTATGAGTTTACTGTTAATTGAGCAGCTCGTGGAGGAAGAACAGACGGATGTGACAGCAGCTCTTTGTCTGCATATGCACACTTTTCTTTTCCTTTCCGGCCGAGCAAATGGCGTCGCCACTGAACCTTAGCGTGCCGTTGTGTTGATGAATTAAATATCACGGCATCAAGATCTGCGGTTCGGGTTTCCTTTCTTCTGTAGCCTCCGCTCGCCGTGGTAACGGTGGTCATGACAACCAGCGGGGAAACAGGAGAGGATACACAAAGGAGGAAGGGGACGCATACCAGCGATGGCTGTCCGGTGTGGACGCAGGAACAGAAACCAGCAGAGTTACAACCTGGTCACACCAAAAACACGAGAAACAGCCCAAAGTTTCAGCAACTATCATCACACGATTGTGGTTTGGCTGCTCCTGATGACGTTTAACCTACTTTGTAGAACTACAGAGTTCATTATCAGCCAGGTCACAGTCTCAGGTTCTTTGTTGTTGTCCTGCAGGTCAGAGCCGCTGAATGTTTGACCTCTTTACCTGGAGGCTCCAGCAGGGTGCTGCTCACACGCTCTCACAAATGAATATTAACCAAGTAAAGTGGGACGGTTTTTAGAAATTTGAATTCTGGAATAATTTACAGAATCATTCAAGTGTCTCAGCTCCAAAATTCACACAATTCTACAGACAAGAGTTGCTTTACTACAATAAACAGAAGAAAATAATGTAGAACAATCAAACACAGAACTGGTAACTCCACCTCAAACACCGAAAGTCCTGGGAACACAAGTTAATATCAACATTTTAGTGTC